TTTCATCTACTTAATACTTACATTCCAATCCTGTTTAGTACCATCTAAGAAGATATTGTTTGAAAAGGAGACGTGGTGGAGGGAGGGTAGGGAATTTATCTTTTGGGAGATTACTTCAGTTGTTTGAAAGATCACTTTTTTAAATCAGATAAGCCAACTGACGACTGACCCGTTGGAATCCATTCCTTGCATAAAGTGGTAGCATCAGGTTTCTAAAATCAAAGCACATCTACATACTGCTATTTTTCATTTAATGTTGCAAACCACAAAAAACAAACTATAAAATCCATCCATCGAATGACAAATCTTTGGTTTCATCACTAGTTTTCCCATGCAGCTTTGAAAAGCAGCTTTTCAGGCAGATAAGTGAAAAAGATAACCACCCTCACTCAGCTCTCATTCTCTAGATGTTCTGATCAATCAATATGTTCTGATTTGTCTGCAAAATTGTATTTTCACAGGACTCTAGAAATGAAAAAAGTTAGGAACTCCAGCTTTAATGCATCTAACCATTGTGGTTGTCATCGTTGACCTGAGCGAGATGGTCTGCAAACTTCATGGCTTTCTCACTTGCACCATTTATTGAGGACAATAAATAAGTTGCCCGCATTATTTCGATAAGGTTTGATATTTTCATAAGTTGTATGTGTATTGCTAAACATATGTAATGAATGCTGAAAGGATCTCAGTAATAACACTTCCATTTGGTGGTAGAAGGTTAAGGTTAATGTGTTTCTTAAAGGTGCCATATTTCGCTTTTCTTCATTTTTCACAGTCCATCCTAAGGACATTTGTGTTAATAATTTGGGTGATACACCATACAACACTCAAATATTAGGCATTTCGTGCATATAGTTGATGTCACCTCTATTGGAACGAGTGGATCCAGTGAGGACTCTGCTCCTCTCACTGTGAGCCTAACTCCCAACCCCGCACGGTGAAGTAGCCTTTGCTAAGTTTGAGGTAAACAAATCAGCAAAAGCTAAGTGTACAGTTCTGGAACAGTCACTCGCAAAAAAACACCTGCAAGTTTCGTCACAGATTTCAAAGTTGCGGATTTCAAAGTCGCACATTTCAGAGGCAGATTCCTGTGAACAAAGTTGATCCCCATTTGCCTCATTCTCCGTCTTTGGGCCAAAAACTGTCGTCATATATTTACACCTAAAAACACATGTTCTCCAAGTTGACATGAAGCTAATACAAAAAAAGCATATTTACTGTCTATGGACCACACACTGGACTCGGAGAGAGGCTGCATGGGCTGACCATAGAGGCCACGCTGTTTCGCTGGTTCAGTTTCTCCCCGCTGTCAATGACCTCTTGGAGGCGAGCTTTTGACGTTACAGATTGATGCATGTCACAATTTAAAACGACTTGTTTTTGTGCCTCTCAAGAATGAAAGAGAAAGATCGCTCTCTAACTAATTCTTGAGGGAATGAATGAAAAAACTACTCTGGGCATGTGTATGAAGGCCAAATAGCACTGTAATCATGTTTAAACCAGAGAAAAGTCAAAAATTGCAATGCAACTTTAAGGTCAGCTTCAACAAATAGTACAATTCTGCTGTATTGTTTCTTGACAAATGAAAAACTTCAGAGTGACTCCTTTCATCCAGCATTATCCTCAAATACAGTTTTTCTGACCTATCTAAATGAAAAACGTAAGCAGTTTGGTGGATATTACTTTTGGGAATGCGTTTAGCATCTATGTCCGGAAACAATGGGACTTTAGAGACGATTTGTCCTTCTGTGTGGTGAGAGCCAGGCCACATTAGCGTTGGAGGGAGGACATTTTTCACAGATTGTCCTGCAGCTGCATCAGTGCATTTATTATCCGAGTGGGCGATCGGAGTCCCTCGCAGAATTCTTCTCACGCTGCTTGGACAGACTTTGGCCGTCACAGCGATGGAACCAGCGGTGTGGGGGTGTGATAGCAGCAACATGTGTGCATCAAAGTGGAGATCTGAAGAGGGGACAGTTGATAGAAAATATCTTTAGTGGTCGTAGCAGCACTAATGGTCCCAAGTTCAAATGTGTAATAATCCATCCATCCATCCATCCATTTTCTACCCTTTAATCCATTTCTGGGTCAGGGGGGTGGCAATCAGAGAAGCCACCCAAGTCTCATAGCACCAGCCCCTCACTGACCCTCTGCAGGTGGTGAGTCCACAGGAGGACTGCTGCTCTCTGAGTGTGAGCATAGCCTTGATCTTTCAGTGGGGGCTTTGGGCAAAGTGGGGTTAAGTGTCTTGCCCAAGGACACAACGACAGCAGTCATCAGTGGGAGTCGGTGGAGAAGGCCAATGCTCTACCAACTGAGCTACTGTGTTTAATAATCATTTATCATAATTTATGCGGTAGTAAAATGTTTGTTTAGTGTATGTGGTTGACATTGTAGATGGTAAGTTTCTCATAAATCTCAGTATCTATTCACTCCTCTACTAGGATTGTGACAACAAATTAAATAAACCATAATACCATTCAGCATAATAAGGAAGAAGTATGACTGTCCCTGTCTACAAATATAAGAGGCCCTTTGACTACCACTAAAAACTGATTGTCATAAAAGGAAGTGGTTGATAGTACATGTAGTTATACCAGTTATCCATCCATCCATTTTCTTCCCTTTAATCCATTTCTGGGTCAGGGGGGTGGCAGTCAGAGATGCCACCCAAGTCTCATAGCACCAGCCCCTAGCATAGCCTTGATCTTTCAGTGGGGGCTTTTACCACTGAAAGAGTTATCACATATGTAAACATACGACTGAATCTGTGTGCAGTCAAGGCAGAGTTGATACTTGTTTGGTGAATATTGAAACATATTATTTTGTGTTTGTTACTGACTTAGGCTACAGACGGTTCATGTGCTATGATACTTGAGATACATTACTGTATCTGAATTGTAATTGTATTGTAAGTACAGTCATGTGTCATTAGTTGATTACAAATTTCTTCAGTGGACTGCAACTCGAGAAATTGCCACTCGTGAAATATTTTGTAACTGTGTACTTTTATATCCACTCGAACTGCTGTGGTGGTCTTTTCCAGTCTGTGCAGCAAGCTGTGCCACATACGAGCGAGAGCCTTAGAGGTTCTGTTGGCGTGTGGCTGTGAAAACTCTGCCCTGAGCCAGCATTCGGAATGACAGCAGGCCTCCAGCTACAAGACAAGACAGCTGCTGAAACATCCACAAAATACTCCTGGCCTTTCTCCTTATCTCCTGTGTGTGGACAAGAATGCAATTTCCTGTGTTCATAGCCAACAAAGCAGGGCAAAACTATGTGTAAAGCTATAGTTTTTTCTGTCACGTTTCATATGGATCTTGCCCATTCTTGTAAGGCAAACCTTATGCATTGTATGAGAGTAGTAATTCATAAGTAAACAGCGGAATTCCTTTGGGTTGAATGAGTATGTGTCTGTACAATGTGTTTGCAATATTTATGTGTAACACCTGCAGGAGAATCAGTGAGGGGCTGGTGCTATGTGTACTGGGTGCAGCTCTGACTGCCACCCCCCCGACCCAGAAATGGATTAAGGGAAAGAAAATGGATGGGTAATAATAATACATCTTTATTTTACAAAGCGCTGCACAGTCAGCAAAATAATCAATAAAAACAGTAAAAATAATATAGTGGATTCAGGAAGACAAAGCAAAAAGCAAACAGTAAACAGGAAACTCAAGAAAAAAGACAAAACAAAGACAAAGCAGACAGTAAAAGTAGTTTAAAACGAACAGTTATAAGCTGTTCAATAAAAGTGAGTGTTAAAAATTATTTAAAAGGGGATACTGATGGTGCAAGCCTTATCTTCTCGGGCAGGAGAAGGCTCTATCACCTTTCGTCCGGAGCCTCGACTTTGGAACAGTCAACAGGGACCTTCCCGAGGATCTAAGGCTGCTTATGGGCTTATGAACGTAGCGTGCAGGTGCCAGACCTAAACAAGATTTAAAAGTAATCAGTAAAATCTTAAAATCAATTCTAAAACACACAGGGAGCCATTGGAGGGGCGCTAAAACAGGGGTGATGTGCTCCCTCTGTTAAAACCAGTGAGAAGTCTGGCTGCTGTGTTTTTAACCAGTTGGAGGCGGGAGAGGGATTTGGAGTCAAGATCGGAGAGGAGGGAGTTGCAGTAATTGAGGCGGGAGAAGATGAGGGCGTTGACGACTTTATGGAGATCGGGAGGAGTGAGAAGGTTTTTAATCTATGAGATGGTGCGGAGGGTTAATGTGGGAGCGGTGTCGGAATGACACCGAGGTTACGGGCAGAGGGAGTGATGTTTGAGTTTGGGGGCCGAGGTGGGTTTGGATTTGAGATATTGACATTTTTGTTAAAAAACATGATAATATTGTTATTAAGAAATATTAGTTTGTCCTTTTTGCATAATACTATGCATTGCATGTTTGATATTGAACAGACTATGATATACTCCATAAATTCATAAATTAATTCAATACCATGTTAAAGCAGCCCAGCAAAGACAGTCTGATGAGTGTGTCCACACTGTTAACAATGTTCACCAAGCGCGGCTGAGCTCAGAGCTGGAGTGGGTTTGCTGCGCACACACGCACACTGGAGAACAGCATTTGTGAGAGAGTTCCAAACTCTTTAATTCCATTAAACACAGTTGGTTTTCAGAACTAGGCTGACTAGTTCGGACAGGAGATTCTTACCCATGTGTGAATGAACGTTTAAACTGTTATTGTGAATTATTGAAAGTTAACCTCTCTTGCACCAGAACACCAAGAGGATGGTACGTGCCAAGGCAGTGGGAAGCAGAGACGATCACCTAATGGTTGGCTGGTCGGAGCAGCAGAAAAGAATTTGTTTAGTCAGCACTTTCCTTTTGAAAATGTCCCGGGATTGTTTTTGTAAGGGTGGTCAGTGAATGGAGAGAAGATTTCAGGGGATATATGAAGTTATTTATTAGCTTGAGCCACTTAAATGGAAAAACGACGGTGACCATGTTGTTGGAAATGTGAATTGGCAGGCCATGGCAGCACCAAATGCCAGGCTGGCACTGTGCCAGGCACTATCTGAACCTGTGGTCCTGGACGGTGGGCAGACTGAGGGTGAGAGAGAGATTAGACCCTCTCTGCGGTTGCGTTGGCCCCAGACAATAGACTTTATCGAGATGATCAGATAGGAGGCGACTGGCCCAAGCTTCTGTCTGTGCACTTTGAGTGGCTTTAAGAGGCTGAGTGAGATATCAGAAAAAAAGATTAGACATTCCTACTATCTGTAAGTGATAGTCTCAGAAGAAGACTGATAATAAAATTCTTAAACATTTTTAAAACCAAAAGATTTGTTTTTTTTAATAATATATAATGACCTCTTAGGTATGGAAGCCCGTTTCCGCCATGTAAAAAAAAAAAAAAGCCTACAGAAAGTCAAAATTTTGACTTTAAAAGTAAAAATTTCGACTTTTAAAAGTCAAAATTTCGACTTTAAAAAGTCAAAATTTCGACTTTAAAAGTCAAAATTTCGACTTTTAAAGTCAAAATTTCGACTTTAAAAGTCAAAATTATGACTTTAACTCATTCACTGCCCATGACGACAAAACTCGTCATGTTGAATAGTAACGCTCACTGCCCATGACGAGTATGACGAGTTTTTCGTGTTATTACACGGGAGGCTGCAGTAATGTCTGGCGCACCTTGTGAATGACCCACAACACTGATATATAGTGCAAATGTACCTGTAATGATAAATCACCACCAGTAGGATGCAATATTGCACCACAGGAGAGGTCATAAGTCAGTGGAGAGAAGGAGGAGGAGTGTGGGGTCTTTGGACAGCGTGCTGCTGTAGCAGAGCGATGATAGCGTAGTATTGAGACGGATCAGCGATCTAGTTTAGCGATAGTATAGCAAGAGTGATGGCGAAAAAGAATAGTTATAAGCAGCTGACACTGCTTCAGGGATTTACTCGCGGATCAGTGAGTGGGGTCGAGAGGGGAGAGAGCGGAGACCCCGGTGGAGGTCCGTCTTTGCAGCCATATTTGCGTGGAGCAAGAGCCCCGAGCAGAGACACACCCTCCGCCTCTCGCAGCGTATCAGCTGCTGCTGTTACTGATGCCTCGGATTCGTTCAGAGAACCTGATCATGATTTATCGGACACACTCACACGCACTCACTCACTCACTCACGCACACAGACACTCACTCGCACACTGACATTCACACACACAGACACTCATTCACACAGACACTCACTCGCACACTGACATTCACACACACACACTCAAATTCACATGCTTCATTCTATTTTATACATCTATAGTTTTATTGATCTTTGTGTTGTTGTTGTTTGACGTTTTGGTTGATGGTATAGAAGAAAGTTAAATTTTCTATCTGTGAATAAATTGCCAACAATTTTCCATCAAAAGTATTATTTCAGAGTCATGTTTTTATAATTTTTGTAATGGAACAAGTGTGAAGATGTTTTGAGTTGTCACTAAAGCAGCAAAAATGCATCTAAAAGTCTCTTTTCTGCTTGATATGTTCCTGTTTACATACAGCTCGTTTTCTCTGTTTTCTTGCTCAGACCAGGTGTTATGGGTGAAAGTATGCTTTGTTCTATGGCAAATAACGCAAGAACGGTAAGAGGTAGAAACAAACTGTTTTTTTTTTCAGAGTAAAGCAGAGAGGTTAATCTTTAATTTGGTGCCCTTGGTGTTTACATCGTCTAAAAAATGAATATTCTGTGGCACTTCAAAGTTGGGTCAAATCACCTGAAATTGCTGGCAGAATGCACTTCTCAAATCTGAAAATGCCTGGCAGTCAGTGAGTTAAAAGTCAAAATTATGAGTTTTCAACTGCGCATGTGCAGTTGAAAACTCGTGTGTGTTGTTGTCTGGAACGGTCTCTGGACGTCCTTCACCTGCAGATTATGTGAAGATATTGCTGACAGCGACCACTGCATCCTTGAAGTAGCCAGAAATAATGTTGTTTGATTGATTCTGTAAAACGTTCCTGTTTAAGCCCCAGACCGCGGTCGTAGGAGGCAGGGAGGAGCTATCTTTTTATTTATTTATGTTAAATTCAATTTACATATATACAGCATTTAAATCAAACGACTTCTTATTTCGACATAGTAACAAATAATGTGAGCAATACGTTTTTATAATAAATCAAAGGAAAATGAGCCATCGAGACATTCCAATCCAATCTGCTATAGACCACTCTGACCCAGACGATGGCGCTGAGAGGGGTCCACACGGAGCGAGTATTTCCACGGCTGAAAGGATGCGCTTTCTACGTGTTGAGTACGGGGTTTTATTCATGCATCTATAATGGGTTTATCTATTTCTAACCCTTTTCAAAGACCCTCACTGTTATCTGCGGAGTTATTTCTCCGGATTGTTGCTAAAAGAGTCGTGGGCTTTATTTTGTCACAATAAAATAATCAGACAAGGTACTTATTCCCTGTATGTCTCTGTGTTCTTGCTCATACGCCAACAACTTTACCCGCACGCTCCATCAGCTCACCCCCGCATGCACGCAAACACGTCACATACTCTTCAATGCACTGATCGCAATTCCAAAAGGGTATTATTGTCAGTGCCCGTGACTGTGGTTCTCCTGCCTCTGTCTGTGGTTGTCCTGCCTCTGTCTGTGGTTCTCCTGCCTCTGTCTGTGGTTCTCCTGCCTCTGTCTGTGGTTCTCCTGCCTCTGTCTGCGGACCTCTCTCACTGTCCTGTCATCGTGAACGGTCTCTGTCAGTCACAATATTATTCACTGCATTTCTGGTGCATCCATCGATAGCCGTGATACTGACCAGATGTCACCAGTTGATGCTCAATGACTTTGAACAGCCACATGTGTTTTATTATTAATCTTCCACAGTCCGTTTAGGATAAACTAAATAGAGGCTTCTGAAGCGGATTCTAATCATAAACGGAGAGACCGTTTGCATTTTAACGCGATTACTACCACAACATTATTGCTGCTACTTCATGGATGTGGTCACTGTCTGTAGGCAAAATCTTCACATAATCTGCAGGTAGAGGATGACCCATGGTCATGGATCTATAACAGGGATGACCAGAGACCGTTCCAGACAGCAACACATACGAGTTTTCAACTGCACATGCGCAGTTGAAAACTCGTAATTTTGACTTTTAAAGTCAAAATTTTGACTTTTAAAGTCGAAATTTTGACTTTTAAAGTCGAAATTTTGACTTTTAAAAGTCGAAATTTTGACTTTTAAAAGTCGAAATTTTGACTTTTAAAGTCGAAATTTTGACTTTTAAAGTCGAAATTTTGACTTTTAAAAGTCGAAATTTTGACTTTCTGTAGGCTTTTTTTTTTTTTTACATGGCGGAAACGGGCTTCCATACTTAGGGAATGAATGAATGGCTTAGTTTTAATCACACACTCATACAAGCAGCAGCTCAGATGTGTAAAAAGGAGCATGACCGAACCCAGGGCTCCCGAATCGCCTAGTTGAATCTAATCTATATCTTAGAACATGTAGTTGAAGTGAGATAGCTAAGACAGCAGTAACTACATTAAAAATGAACAGGAATTCTAAATGTCTTCAATGGTAAGGAATTTCAAATGTATTCATTCATTTTGTGCAGATTTATACACAGTTTTCAGTGCTCTCAGTGGCCAGAGTTATTATTGCCAGCAATAGCATCCTTTGTTTTTAACCAATCCTTTGAATTATCACAACATGAAAACATACTGATTTTCATTAAACCAAATTGTCCCTAGAAACTTTTAAGCACATCAGTTTTCTGTTAGATCATTGTTGTTTAAAGTTTGCATGTGTTCAGACTATAATTACTCGCCCTTTAATTAGTATTTCTTCATGTTCTGTGGTTCACACATGGCCACTGCAGTAGCATCACCACATGCAGCTTCATGAGCTGCGATAACTGCAGACAAGCATATTTCATCTATCAGCAGCCATAAATAAAGTTTTGTTACCTTCATTTAAGGGAGATGTGCTTTCTTTTTTCATTTCTAGTTCATAGCCATGTTATTCATCATTTTAAAGCTCAGAATCTGCAGAAATAACTTGTTTTTGTTTTCCTATCCACACAAATTTTATTATTTTGTATTTGGGGAGAGGTGCTATTTAAGTGTCTCTACAGCATAGATAGCCCACTTTTAATTATTTATATACTATATCTTTATATAATATGTTGCTGGAGTTAAAGATGCAGTCAGTGATTTTTTCCAGGCACATTTTTTTAAAGCGCGCACCTGATTTTCTAAAACCTAAAAGGGCTAACATAAAAAGCCAATTTCATGTAAGCCACCCACTCTCCCTGTTGTGACCATTATTATAATAGATCCATGGTTGTGACAAAGAAAAGAAAATTCTGGATGTTTGATTTGGTGGAGAGGCGAGGGGGTAAGTGGTTTTTGAGTTGGTGCGACGGCTAAGCTAACAAAATCGCTTACTCCACCTTTCAACAATTGAAACAAAATATAGACTACACTTTGTCTATTCAGAGCACGTTTGGATTTTTGTCAGTGTTTCCTTTATAAATGAACCAGGCACACATTTTCTATGATTGTCTCTTTGAATTATGTTTATGTTTTTCTTAAAGACAATAACATTTAAATTTTAATCTTCAAATACATTTTTTGTGTTAGATTACTGAGCTCTATCTGCCAATTTATGTGTGTGTATCTGTCACAGTTGACATACATTAAAGGGGGTAGTAAGTTTAACAAGAAATATCTTCATATCAAAGATCTTCATTATTGTGCTTTCTTAACATTTACCTTCAGCCCTTTTTAGATCACTTGTTTGAGATATACTGTGAACGGAAATATCACAATGCCTTGGCCCTCCATTTAGGCCCTTATAAATCTCTGCCTTCTTTTTTGCTGTTGTAGGTGTCCCAGGCTTCGAAGGTGTGGGGGGAGGTCCCATTGCCAGAGGATTTGGAGGCGGAGAAAAAAGTACAGGCTTCACACAGTTTACTGGACGATGACGAAGACTTTGCTGCAGATGAAGCTTCGGGAGGTGAGTTTGTTTTGCAATGAGTGACCACAAACCACAGCAGACGTAGTTGTCATGTACAATATTCATATATTTCAATGTATATAAGGCAGAAAACTACCCCCTAAAGACATATTTAGCTGACATATGATTTATTTATATAATATAATATATTTTATTTTGATTCAAATCGGGATCCGCTCCCACTGACGGAAGGGCTCAGGCCGCAGAACGTTGGCCGAGGCCACACAGTGCTAGCCTTGCTCTGCCAGACCCTTGTAGTTCCGCCATGCTCCACCAGAGGCGTTTGGCTGAACCTCATGGGTCTGGTATCGACGCCATAGCAAACGCCTTCCCCAGATTATTTTTTAATCGACCAATCAGGATTGCCAGTGTTACGTGGGGTTTGCACTGCCTTCTCAAGCTTCTCTCATGCAGCAGCGAGAGGAATCCAAGATGGCGGACGTAAAGTCCGCGAATCTTTTTAAAAGAGTAAATACGATCGAATTAAGACACAGATGTCACTTTTAATGCAATTTGAGGCGAGATGTTGATGGTTCTATGTTGATATATGTGTGTTTTAAGAGTCAAATGTTCCTGTAAAGTTCGGTTGAAGCACTGGTTCAGTGTTCCTGTTTACAAACTATGCAGCAGGGTTTCCAGGTTTGGTGGTTCCCGCATATTTTTTTCCAAGAGACTTGTAGGTATTAAATAAACAGAATCATGATAGCCCAAGTTGATTACATTACGTTTTAGCCAAAAAATCATTTTGAGGGTTTTTTATTTGGGTATTCTCGCGGATTTTGGGTTGGTAAATATGGCTGGGATTTGGCAACCTATGGGAGCTGTGTGCTTCGATGTGAGTGGTTGAAAGCAGACTTCATTCAAGATAACGGACAAGTGGTCTATCCAATCACATACAAGGATTTTTTTTTTCAAGGCCCTGCCTTCTGAAATCCAACCACTATGGCTCAGTACCAGACTCATGTGTGAAGTGCAGCAAACTACATGGGTCTGGCGAGAGTCAGGCTAACACACTGCAGGACTGAGGCAACTTCCAGCCGGGGAGGGGGTACACCCAAAAGTCCGGGTTGGGGAAGACAGTCCACAGGAGTAGATGAAAGAGGCTGGATTCAGGGGTCAAATCATCGCACCACAAAACAGACACTGGGACAGTGGATGAATAGCAATGAACAGACTACAGTTGAAGTCATAATGATGACAGTTAAAGTAGCAAGAGGAGAGGATAGTGCTTACCATACCTCTCCCAGCAAAGTATCTCCACATGCAGCTTGACTGACAATCTGTGTTTTTAAACTTAAGGTTGTATTCTAATGGGGCGTTCAGACCGCCAACACTGGAACGCAGCTTCCGCACACACAAGACGCACATTCTCTAAATTTCAGAGGCTAGGGGTGTTCAGACTAGAAGTTCTGGCCTGCGGCGCCAGCCGGAAGTGGCGGAAGTAGCGGGCGGACTTTGAAGCTTGCGGCTTTTTGTGTAAAGTTCTTCTCCAATAATGCAGCTCTGCAGCGTCTTTGTGTCCGGAGACTTTCCAGAGACTTTATATAACGGCAGTATGTGTTCACGGAGGTGCATCATAAGTTTATTTTATTATAAAACGGTACTTCCGCATTGGTGAACACGCTAGAAGCAGTTGTATACAGTCATGGGAGCATGAGAACACATTATGTTCACAAGCACTATGTTCCCCATTGTCAACTCTGGTTTAAGTATATTCAGTCAGACCGCTATTTTCCTCGTGACCACTTTGCGGCTGATTGGTCGCTGCACGAGCGTCCTGAGGACAAAGTTCAGAAATGGGTATCTCCTGAGTGCGTCAATTTCCCGCGCCTGCGCCTCTTCTGCACCTCTACCGCGCAGTCAGTGCGTCTCTACCGCGCAGTCCGTGCGTTAGGAGTGTGACAAAATATCGATATGGTGATGTATTGTGATACTTTCTCACACAATCAATTTTTTTTTTTCAAGTAAAGCTTAAAAAAAAACTTTGCAAAAGCATAAGTATTGATACTTAATATATGGAAGCATTACGCATTCTAACATTTCTGTAGAAGGTTCATATTGATTTTATTGGATGTAAGACAGATTAAGTAAGATTTTTACTGAAATGTGCAGGTTAAAAGGCTTTTTTGCTTGTTCACTTTAATGTTACACATGACCCTTTATCCATTTATCTTGAAATAAAGTGTTTTTTTTCATAAACAGGCACATGCCATAAATATAGGTATAAAATATTGTCGTAGGTATAATTTTGACCAATATATCGATAATTTCTGCATCGTCATATCGTAAAATAATTGTTATCGTGAGCTTTGTATCGCACATCATATCGTATTGTGATGTACCCTGAGGTTCCCACCCCTACCGTGCATGTGTGCCAAGACTTTGCATTGAAAGTCGCCGCAACGCATGATCCGGTCTGGACGCGGCTTAAGTCTTACCTGAGTCTTACCTAACTAACCATATGCTAAATTAACGAGGATTTTTTTAAGCATCGCCTTGATTGTAGACACTGTGTCTTTTTCCTATATGTGAATTGGGAGCTGAATAACAAACACATAGGAGCCATCCTGGGTAGCAGGATGACCAATGTTCTTGTCCATAAATGTCCCGGATCATCACTGTCCGTAGACCCTCCTTTATCGGAACGTCTCAGGAAAAAACCCTGTGTGAAAAAATGTGAGAAACCTTGCAGATGCCCATATAGAGGTAGAGGTATATATATATAGGTATCTGCTCCCACGAATGGACAGGCTGTAGATGCAGGCCATGTCTGTACAGGGTATTGTAATTTAATGTATTTGTCTTTCAGATCTGCCCAGTGGAGAGGACGATGGAAGTGGCCCATGGTCATCAGTCACCTCAAGTAAGTACCCTCAAAACCGACGAGAGGTGGGAGAAAATTTCTGATTCTTACATTAATCGCGATTCGGCCGTGGAAAAATCGTGAACGGTTCTCAAACATCCAAATTCCGATTATTTAAATATGCCAAGTAAAGCGTACTGAAATACAGGGAGCGCTATCTACAAAACGCTATAGGCATCCACAGCACACTCTCGAAAAAAATAAAACGACAACAAGCATGGCTGAGCTAACGAACCCACCTCGTCATGAGATCCGACCTGCCCCGGTCACCTCGTACCCCAACCATTCTATACATTTGCCCTCTCAACGCTAACACAGTTTACTCCAAGGCCCGCACAAAAAACACACACAGCTGAGAAAGACACATATTATATAAGATTGCAAAGAATACAATCTATGCTTGAGCTGGTTGGTGCACAGTGGCCAAGTGTAAACAGGAAGAGAAATGCAAGCTTTACACGGACCTCGAGGTAGTCCCTTTAAAGGGTCTAAAGACCTATGGACATATGAAACACTAAAAGGAGCAAAAAGCACAAAGCACCTTGAGCAGCACAGTAATGGTTATGCATCTCCCTTCCAATGGATATTTTCATAAAGGTAATAAAATATAGTGGAAATGAATGTAACTTTGGACATGTGGAAAAAGTGCATCAATATACTTATAATAAAAATGCATCAATAATCGAATCGCAGCCTCTGAATTGTAATCAAATTATGAGGTGCCCCAAGATTCCCACCACTACTCAAAACTCTCTATGACAAATGCACAGATTGTATGTGGGGTAGGTGCTCATACGTTCTTTGAACTTCTACCTACTCCTTTTGAGCAGCAAATGCCTGTAATAACTTTTTTGTTTATGAACATTATTGTATGTTTCTCAAATAAATGAATAAATAGAATTAGTAGCTGTGGAAAATCACTCGAGGATGAGTAAACTTTGATGCATGAACATGTTATATAAAACTAAATTATATAGATTTTCCTTGTTCAAGTTGTGTTCATTCCCTGAGTTTAGTTCTATTAAGGTCCTAAACTTTCTACCATTGTTTTAATTTGTCCTTGTTCAATTGTCTTTAATTGTCTTGCTGTAACTTGCTAGTTTCTTGTTCAGTGCCCTGTTAAACTTGGTTTACTGTATTTTCTGTTGTAGTCTGAGTTTAAATGGGGGTATAGGGGTCAGCCTTTCCCTTTTGTCCAGTTCTGGTTCAGCCCAAAGATAACTAAACCAGAAACTATATAATATATTTGGCCATAATTACCTCTAAATATAAATACAGAAGAATAGGGACAGATGTAAAATATTAGTTTTAAACAAAGTTCCACAAAGATATCATGGAGACTTATTATGAATCAAGAAAGTAAATCCAATATTGCCAAATAAGCTAGCATTATGAAGTGAGAAACTTTCCAGGAACAACTTTTCTGGTTTGAACATTCACTTGAAACCAAGCCCTTTTTGGTGCATATTATTATGTCAGTCTGTGTGTATTGAATGTGGGATTGACTGAAGTTACCCTTCCCCCCTGTTTCGCCCTTTCATTCCTGGCCATTGTGCCCGACTCTGGTCATGACACCGGTGTTAGGCTTTATCTGGAGACACAAACATCTCTTCCTTCCCTTCATCTTTTTACCGGTGGCTGAGGTGACAGCCACTGAAATACATGAAAGTCTAGCCAACAATGACGGTGCTGGCATAGCAGCTTGTTTTGCATTCTGCCCATCATTACAGACCTGCTCTGCAACCGTGAGTTCTGGAGGGACAATTCACCTGTATATCCTTTTGGTCTATCCTTTTGGTCTGGCCCAACGTTTCCACTTTAATAGACTGTGTTAATCACTCAATTAGTCAATTTGATTGGATCTGATTTTTATTAATGCAGGGGTGTCCAAATATTATATTTTTTTCAGTAAGGTTAAGTCCCACTGAGTGGTCTACTCTTTATGAGGGAAGAATATTGAATGAAAAATGACGAATACATTTGCTATGCTATTGCAATTACTCCATAACACGTAGTCCATGTGTTGAAAAGGCTTTAGGCATTGGAATATAAAACAATGTCCTTTTTCTGACTATCCCTGCTTCTTAACAAACACGTTTATGTTTGTCATCGTCAGGTTGTAATAAATGTTTGTGCTGCAGTGTTGAGAGCTGACATCAGAGTAATGCATCTTGTGCCTCTGTGTAAAAATAGCATGGCTTTGAAGCTAACTTTGGATAGTTGACATTATAGTGGATATTGTTAGCAGCATGTGACTTTGACCAATAACCTAGATTTAAATTGTAGCCTCAAGTCACAAAGTAATTAATTATACGTAATATCTGGTATATGGCTTGAAATCTGTGTCGGAACACTGCATTATGTTATAGTAATTATTGTTAAGTGTGATATAGCGTTTAAACAAAATAAGGTTATTCTGAATATGGATGCAATTCTTTTGTTATTGACCTGAATAATTATAACCATAAACGCTTTCCTTAGCTGCAGCTGGAATCTTAGCCTGATGTCTTTTTGCAGTGCCAGTGGTTTTTGGCTTGTTTGAATATGATGGAAATGGTGCAATACAAAGGTCTTCTCTGTTATTCGGAAAGCCCTGTGGGAAAATATTTGTGGGTATTACGAGCCTTGCAACCTTCCCTATTACTTTGCTTTATTGGACCTGCTTACCATAAACTACCTGCTTTTGTATCCACATAAAGGTCAGTGCTGCTTTAATGCACCGATTAACAAGAAGCCACTATTTTGCTTTGTTTATCATCAGATCATATCAGAGAGTTTTTTTTCTGCATTGCATGTATATATCTGTAATTACAGTGCCTTGCGAAAGTATTCAGCCCCCTTGAACCTTTCAACATTTCGCCACATTTCAGGCTTCAAACATAAAGATATACAAATTTAATTTTTTGTCAAGAATCAACAACAAGTGGGACACAATCGTGAAGTGGAACGAAATGTATTGGATAATTTAAACTTTTTTAACAAATAAAAAACTGAAAAGTGGGGCGTGCAATATTATTCGGCCCCCTTGCGCTAATACTTTGTAGCGCCACCTTTTGCTGCAATTACAGCTGCAAGTCGCTTGGGGTATGTCTCTATCAGTTTTGCACATCGAGAGACTGGAATTCTTTCCCATTCTTCCTTGCAAAACAGCTCGAGCTCAGTGAGGTTGGATGGAGAGCGTTTGTGAACAGCAGTCTTCAGCTCTTTCCACAGATTCCCGATTGGATTCAGGTCTGGACTTTGACTTGGCCATTCTAACACCTGGATACGTCTATTTGTGAACCATTCCATTGTAGATTTGGCTTTATGTTTTGGATCATTGTCCTGTTGGAAGATAAATCTCCTTCCCAGTCTCGGGTCTTTTGCAGACTCCAACAGGTTTTCTTACAGAATGGTCCTGTATTTGGCTCCATCCATCTTCCCATCAATTTTAGCCATCTTCCCTGTCCCTGCTGAAGAAAAGCAGGCCCAAACCATGATGCTGCCACCACCATGTTTGACAGTGGGGATGGTGTGTTCAGGGTGATGAGCTGTGTTGCTTTTACGCCAAACATATCGTTTTGCATTGTGGCCAAAAAGTTAAATTTTGGTTTCATCTGACCAGAGCACCTTCTTCCACATGTTTGGTGTGTCTCCCAGGTGGCTAATGGCAAACTTTAAACGAGACTTTTTATGGATATCTTTGACAAATGGCTTTCTTCTTGCCACTCTTCCATAAAGGCCAGATTTGTGCAGTGCACGACTGATTGTTGTCCTATGGACAGACTCTCCCACCTCAGCTGTAGTTATCTGCAGTTCATCCAGAGTGATCATGGGCCTCTTGGCTGCATCTCTGATCAGTCTTCTCCTTGTTTGAGATGAAAGTTTGGAGGGACGGCCGGGTCTTGGTAGATTTGCAGTGGTCTGATACTCCTTCCATTTCAATATAATTGCTTGCACAGTGCTCCTTGAGATGTTTAAAGCTTGGGAAATCTTTTTGTATCCAAAAACAGTAGCTCAGTTGGTAGAGCATTGGCCTTAAGCCCAGAAGGTCGTAGGTTCAATTCCCACCTCTGCACCTTCTCCACCGACTCCCACTGATGACTGCTGTCGTTGTGTCCTTGGGCAAGACACTTAACCCCACTTTGCCCAAAGCTCCCACTAAAAAAAAGATCAAGGCTATGCTCACACTCAGAGAGCATCCGTCCTCCTGTGGACTCACCACCTCCAGTGAGGGGCTGGTGCTATGAGACTGACCCAGAAATGGATTAAAGGGTAGAAAATGGATGGATGGATGAATTTTACGCATACTCCCAAGTATGCGTATGACAATAGTGTGTAGTCTACAAATTAAATTATGCATCAACTATACATTTCAGATTAAACATATATCACTCATTCTGTCATTTTCAGGATGATAAATATGATTTTGAATTCACAGTTCAAAAACAGTACAAGAATGGTACCATGGAGTTTTTTTCATATATCCATCCACAGTAACATTAGGAACTTCTGGCACAAACATGTAACTTTGTCACTTCGGTCTTAAAGCTCCTGTTTCAGTCCTGGAATAGTTTGATATAATTGTACCACTATGATGTCACACTCCGGGCAGTTTTCTGCCTTTTTAAAACAAACATATTGTCTCTATATTAGTTAAATTAGCAATTCAGGTGAAATAACATGGCTGTGATTTTTTAATTTGGAAAAAGACAAACACATTCAAATCTGTGTTTACCTTTTATACTTCTTTTAAACATACATTCTCTATTTTCTGTATGTTATTTCACATAAAATTACAAGATGAAAAGTCTCTAAATTATGCTTAGTCTTTCTTCTGTAAGTCTTAAATGTATGCCCATTTCCAAAAATAGAATGGCTCGGGCTTGACCGGGAAGGAAGTTGAGTTTCTTTGTTAAAATACTTTTCCAAGGGTCCCTGTCCTGTTGACACTGTGGACTCCTTAAGCTCAGCCTCAAACCCTACCACCCACACATGCATGTACGCACACACTACTTTGA